TGGGTTGGAAGATCTAAACTAAAGTATGCCAGTAAAACATGTAGAAATTGCTTAATGTGATCAAGTAAGCATGGATCAAAGGAATGTTTGAGCACCTTGTTAGATATATGCAGAATTCAAACTTAGAACCAAAAAGGGACCTACTAAGGCTTATACATTGCACATATCTAATGTGGTATAGTCAGTGAATATATTATATCTAGGTTTGAATTTAGGTTCTATGCTGCCAGAGTAAAATGCAGTTGAGGAAAAAAAAAAAAAACCTTGCTAGGAAAACATAGAAAACAGATGTCCTGCTGTACCGTATTGTTAAGAAATCTTTAAAAATATCCATGCAGAAAAATGCTACTTTAAGCAACTCTGCAGGTGAGGATTCAAGAAGTGAAATCTGTATTATTTGCACATAATTAAGAATTCCCATTTACTTTTTACTGGTTATGTCCGTGTGCAAAACATTGAAGCATGTTAATAAAGGGACATGTGACTTTTTGCAAGTAAACCCTCTAGCTAGCAGATGGTATAGTATATTCCCCTTTCTGCTTTGATAAATAGCTTTTAAAAGGCCTTCAAATAGGTTAACAAAGATTTGTTTCATTCGGAAGCATTCAGATAATGATATGAATGAGAAGCAAGGAGAAAGCATGCAAGGCACAGCCACCCCACCCCCATCTCACTAAACCTAAAGGCAATCATATGGCCAGCCAGAGTTAAGACCACAGGAACACTAATAAAAAAATCAATTGATGTGACTCCACAGCTCAATGGCATGTTAGGCATTTGAATACAGTACATGTTGCTATTATATAGGCTGTATGTTTCCAGAACTATTGTATTTATTTATCAAATGCTTTAACACTGCACATACATTGATTTCTCTGTTTTTTATTTTTTTAAGACTATCACGGAGAGCATTTACAAATAGTGTTACAATGCTTGCTATACACACAGGCATGTTTCTTGTTCTGAGTTTACGTAACATTTGTCATACTGTAGGCTATTCAGATTGATTAGTGAAATATAAAGTCATTAGGGTACCATGCACTGACTGGCATTTTTCAGTTTATAATGCACCATACTTTTTACATGGGTGCAATAGATAAAGGGCATTTATTTTATTTATTTTTTTGTCCAGTACAATTTCACCTTCTTATAAACCCGCATTTAAAAGTTCATCATTTAATACATAAATGCAAAAATAATGGGAAATTTGGCAAATAATCTCAGTACTTTAATATAGAATAACAGGGCCAAGGAATCAGCAAAATAAATAATTAACAATGTTAAAAAAAACAGCATATAATGAAAACAATCGTGTTAAACACATTATAACCTCTATGCAGGCTGTAATGTGTTAAATGGTGTGCTAGTTATCAGTGGTGGAACTAATGTAGAGAGGACCTGGTGCAAGAAATTTCCAACCACATATGATAGTATGCACCTTACATTTACATTATATCAAAAAGGGACTAAACCTGGGTAAATATGAGCTAATCTGACAGGGTTTAACCCCTTAAGGACCAAACTTCTGGAATAAAAGGTAATCATGACATGTCACACATGTCATGTGTCCTTAAGGGGTTAAGTATCATCTTGTTATATATTTATACCCATTTTCTTTCATAGTCAAAATCTCCTCTAAATCTCTGCTGTCAAGGCCTCACCCAGTTCTCTTTTCCAAAGCATCTGGAAGTTAAATTCTCATCTCCACATTGATTCGGCAACAAGCTGTGAACTCTTGAGAAGGATAATTTAGAAACTTACATATTCTAGAATCTCTTGCAGTCATCATAAATCTTTCTCAGAATCCGACAACTGCAGCAAAGTTTTGTAGTTCATCTGAAAGCATCCTAAATTTATCTTTGTATAAATAAACTATTGATCTTTGCCAGTTTTACCAACATCTCTGACCATTACTAGAAAATGATCAAACCACCAGCCAAGATTTCCTGGATTGCGTTTACGTTTATGGGGACATTTACTACTAAGTGGCAGAGAGTCCATCTTATTGAGCACATTTATGTAAATGTACGGTATTTGGAAGCATCATTTTCAAACTTTTTTTTATGTTAAAGGAACACTATAGCGTCAGGAACACAAACATGTATTCCTGACTCTATAGTGAAAATCCACCATTTAGGTGGCTTGCCACTCCCCCCACCCCCTTTAGCCACCGCACAATGGGTTAAAATAGGTTAAAACTCACCTTATTTTCAGCTCTCCACAGGTCTGCCGGCGATGGCCCTGTCCCCTTGGTGACATCATTAGAATTGCCGATTTTTAGCCAATCTAATGCTTTTCCATGGGGAAAGCATTGGATTGGCTAAAATTGGCAAGGGGCAGGGCCAAACACTGTTTTGGCCAATCAGCACCTCCTTGAATCAATGAATCTCTATGAGGAAAATTCAGCGTCCTCATGCAGAGCATGGGGACGCTGAATGGCAGGGCTGCCTACTATGCAGCACTGAGCCAGGAAGCATCTCCAGTGGCCATCTGAGGAGTGGCCACTTGGAGGTGTCCCTAGGGCCAATGTAAACACTGCCTTTTTTCTGAAAAGGCATTGTTTGCATAAAAATGCCTGGAGGCAATGATTATACTCACCAGAACAACTACATTAAATGTCCCTTTAATCCTAAGGGTAGAAAGTTGGAGAGGTGAACAAATAGAATCTTCTATGTCTCCCCGTGGGGTATATCCTGCTGAAGAGCACCACTTCAACGCCTTGGCAAGTTGCACGCATCTGTCAAAAAAAATTAGATTAGGTACTCCCATCCTTCCCAATGTTCTCAGTGAACCAGCTTAGTGAGTAGTCTAGCTCTTTTCCCAGACCAAATTAAATTAAAGAAACATGTGTTTGTGTGTTCCTAACTCTAAAGTGTCCCACTCCCACTTCCCCAGGTCTCCCCAATGTCTATAAAAGGGTTGAAATACTTTCTTTCACTTACCTGACTCCAGTGCCAAGGTCCCTCGGCGCTGGGTTGCACTCCTCCTCATAGGTTCACCATCTAACATCAACAGATGGGGGAGCCTTATGCATATGGGCGGTGCTGACTTTTGCTTGACTCTGGTTGTCCTCATTCAAAGCTTTGTGAAACTACAGGAAGATCCTCTAATGGCTGTCTGAACATAAACAAGCGCACCAGAGCAGCGTATCCCTCTAATCTATGTTCGGGAAATTTGAGGGATTCCCTGCTTTGCTCCGCTTGTCTATGTTCAGGGAAATTTACCCGAACGTAGACATACGCACCAGAGCAGCGTATCCCTCTAATCTATGTTCGGGGAAATTTCCCCGAACATAGACCTAACTTACCGACCAATTTGTTTTACGAGCGGGTCATAAGAACGGAACCCGTGGTAAGTGAGGAGTATCTTTGTAACTTTCACTCCTAATTATTCCAAGTTTGTTATCAAGGTAAAAACAAATTACCTTGATAAAGCCCCAGAATCTTATAATTTACTGCTCTTTCTTTGATAAGTTATTGGAAGAGTCCTGCTTGCTTTGAGATAAGTTGCTGGTGTGAGGCTAGAAGATGCACTCACTTAAAAGCGCAGTTAAAAGAGTATTGTTTTCATATCCTGTTACAATCATTTCAAAAATTATCCCAAAGCAAGTAAGAGTGTTGACATGTATATTCCCTTGCTTATTACTAATTATTGTGCACAGTTTAAAGATATTCACCAGATTATTAATACACATCTACCTATTTGATCTAGTGATAAAAAGCTTAAATATGTTGTGAACTATGAGTGCAAAGCAGTAGCTAGGATGGCACCCAGGGGCGGACTGACCACTCGGGCACTTCGGTCATGGACCGAGGGCCCGAGGCAGTCAGGGGCCCGGCAGCACAGCCTTGTTCCAGCTGGAGAGATCAGAGATCTCTCCAACTGGAACAGCAAAAAATAATAAAATAAAACTTTTTAATTGATAGGTTGTGGGGCCCCTGATGCAGCACGGGGCCCCACAACCTACCGCTCTGCTAGTCACACCTCCCCCCCCCCATGGAGACCTGGCAGCTTCACCTCCTCCCTGCCAGGTCTCCTGCTTCCTCTCCCATGAGGCTCTGTGTGATGGGAGAGGCGGGGCCAGGAAGTGACATCACTTCCTGTTTACTCCTCTCACACAGAGCCCAGCATGGAGAAGGAGCAGCAGGCGGGGAGAGAAGAGGGAGCAGAGATGCAGGTAGGCACCAACCACCCCCTTCCCCCCCCCTCACTATCACCAGTCACCCCCCTCACTGTCACCAGTCACCCCCCCACTGTCACTAGTCACCCCCCACTGTCACTAGTCACCCCCCCACTCTGTCACCCCCTCACTGTCACTAGTCACCCCCCCACTGTCACTAGTCATCCCCCCTCACTGTCACTAGTCACCCCCTCCCTCACTCTGTCACTACTCACACCCTCCCTCACTCTGTCACTAGAGTGAGGGGATGACTGGTGACAGAGTGAGGGGATGACTGGTGACAGAGTGAGTTAGGGGGGTGACTAGTGACAGAAGGAGGGATGGAGTAGTGACAGAGGGAGGTGGTGACTAATGACAGTCACCACCTCCCTCACTCTGTCACTAGTCACCCCTTCCCTCACTCTATCACTAGTCACCCCCTCACTCTAGTGACAGTGAGGGAGGGTGTGACTAGTGACAGAGTGAGGGAGGGAAGTGGTGACTAGTTGACAGCGTTAGGGAGGGAAGGGGGTGACTAGTGACAGAGGGAGGGGTGACTAGGGACAGAGTGAGGGAGGTGGTGACTAGTGACAGTCACCACCTCCCTCACTGTGTCACCCCCTCCCTCTGTCACTGGTCACCCACTCCCTCCCTCACTCTGTCACTAGTCACCCCTTCCTTCCCTCTGTCACTAGTCACCCCTTCCCTCACTCTGTCACCTGTCACCCCCTCACTCTGTCACCCCCTCACTCTGTCACCCCCCTCACTCTGTCACTAGTCACCCCCCTCACTCTGTCAATAGTCACCCCCTCACTCTGTCAATAGTCACCCCCTCACTCTAGTGACAGAGAGAGGGAGGGGGTGACTAGTGACAGAGAGAGGGAGGGTGTGAATAGTGACAGAGAGAGGGGGTGACTAGTGACAGAGTGAGGGAGGGTGTCACTAGTGACAGAGAGAGAGAGGGAGGGGGTGACTAGTGACAGTCACCACCTCCTTCACTCTGTCACTAGTCACCCCCTTCCTCACTCTCTCACTGTGTCACCCCCTTCCTCACTCTGTCACTAGTAACAGTCACCACCTCCCTCACTCTGTCACTAGTCACCCCTTCCTTCCCTCACTCTGCCACTAGTCACCCCTTCCCTCACTCTGTCACTAGTAACCCCCTCACACTAGTGACAGAGTGAGGGAGTGACAGAGAGAGGGAAGGGGGTGACTAGTGACAGAGTGAGGGAGGGGGTGATTGTCACTAGTCACCCCATCCCTCTCTCTGTCACTAATCACTCCCTCCTAACTCTGTCACTGTGTCACCCCCTCCCTCACTGTCACTAATCACCCCTCTGTCCTTAGTGACAGAGTGAGAGAGGGGGTGACTAGTGACAGAGTGAGGAAGGGGGTGACTAGTGACATAGTGAGGGAGGTGGTGACTAGTGACAGAGTGAGAGAGGGGGTGACTAGTGACAGAGTGAAAGAGGGGGTGACTAGTGACAGAGAGAGGGTGACTAGTGACAGAGTGAGGGAGGGGAGGGGGTGACTAGTGACAGTCACCACCTCCTTCACTCTGTCACTAGTCACCCCCTCCCTCACTCTGTCACTAGAGTGAGGGGGTGACTAGTGACAGAGTGAGGGGGTTACAGAGTGAGGGAAGGGGATGACTGGTGACAGAGTGAGGGAGGGGATGACATGTGACAGAGTGAGGGAGGGCGTGACTAGTGACAGAAGGAGGGAGGGAGTAGTGACAGTGAGGGAGGTGGTGACTAGTGACAGTCACCACCACCCTCACTCTGTCACTAGTCACCCCTTCCTTCCCTCACTGTGCCACTAGTCACCCCTTCCCTCACTCTGCCACTAGTCACCCCTTCCCTCACTCTGTCACTAGTCACCCCCTCACTCTAGTGACAGAGTGAGGGAGTGACAGGTGACAGAGTGAGTGACTAGTGACAGAGTGAGGGAAGGGGTGACTGTCACTAGTCACCCCATCCCTCTGTCACTAGTCACTCCCTCCTAACTCTATCACTGTGTCACCTGCTCCCTCACTCTGTCACTAGTCACCCCCTCCCTCACTCTGTCACTAATCACCCCCTCTGTCCTTAGTGACAGAGTGAGAGAGGGGGTGACTAGTGACAGAGAGAGGGAAGGGGTGACTGTCACTAGTCACCCCATCCCTCTGTCACTAGTCACTCCCTCCTAACTCTGTCACTGTGTCACCTGCTCCCTCACTCTGTCACTAGTCACCCCCTCCCTCACTCTATCACTAATCACCCTCTCTGTCCTTAGTGACAGAGTGAGAGAGGGGGTGACTAGTGACAGAGTGAGGAAGGGGGTGACATAGTGAGGGAGGGGGTGACTAGTGACATAGTGAGAGATGGGGTGACTAGTGACAGAGTGACACACAGTGACAGAGTGAGGGAGGGAGTGACTAGTGACAGAGAGGGATGGGGTGACTAGTGACAGAGTGAGGAAGGGGGTGACTAGGGAGAGAGGGGGTGATTAGTGACAGAGTGAGGGAGGGGGTGACTAGTGACAGAGGGAGGGGGTAACACAGTGACAGAGTAAGGGGGTGACTAGTGACAGAGTGAGGGAGCGGGTGACACAGTGACAGAGTTAGGGAGGGAGTAACTAGTGACAGAGAGAGGGATGGGGTGACTAGTGACAGTCACCCCCCCCTCACTCTGTCACCAGTCATCCCCTCACTCTGTCACTAGTCACCCCTTCCCTCCCTCACTCTGCCACTAGTCACCCATTCCCTCACTCTGTCACTAGTCTCCCATTCCCTCCCTCTGTCACTAGTCTCCCATTCCCTCCCTCTGTCACTAGTCTCCCCCTCTCCTTCCCTCTGTCACTAGTCACCCACTCCCTCACTCTGTCACCAGTCACCCCCACTCACTGTGTCTCCCCCTCACTCTGCCACCACTCAACCCCTCCCTCACTCTGCCACCAGCCACCAGGTACCCCCTCACTCTGCCACCTGTCACCTTCTCCCTCACACACTCTGTCACCTGTCACATATGCATTCACACAGACACTATATACAAAAAAGCACATGTAGTCATCCAGACATGCACAAGTGCATTCACACAGACTCAAATACAAACATGCATTGATACACAGGTCTTCACAATACACACATCCAAAGGAATGCCGTATTATGAATTATATTTAACATTTATTAAAATGCACATATATTTGGCCTTCAAAGGGCCTGGGATCTAATTTTGCCCGGGGGCCCCAAAGGCTCTCAGTCCGCCCCTGATTGTAGCTTTACAGAATAGTGGCAAAGGCATACAATGGGGGTATCGTTATACTCAGCAGATGTAGCTGAACACAATATGGGTTTCTGTACAGTAATTGCACACACCAGCTTCACAAAATACACATTACAAAAACCTTGTTATATGTATATATGCCAAAATAGAGAAAAAAACATGTTACTCCAATATTTAGCAGAGATTGGCGATGAAATTACTACGTAAAAAGTGTTAAAAACCCTTGGGTAAATAGCCTGTGATGTCTACTTTATATAAATATATACTTTAGTGTGGCAATTTTGTTTTCTGTGATGGCTACTAAACCTACAACACAAACATACAAACTTCTAAAATTACTTCACATTGAAATTATATTTTAGTCCTTTTATTTTGTGACCTGTAACTTTCAAAATAAGCTGGAATCCTATACATATGATGTACTATATAAATCAAGACCCATAAATGAATTTATTTTGAATTGCATTTCCTAAGCTGGACATATTATGCACACGCTATTATTGCCAAAACCGTTAAAAAAAAGTTTTTCCCCATTTTTTGGCATTTGTTTTAGAATTAAAGAGAATGTTTCTATGTATATGTCACATCAAATTAAAGTCACTTTTGCCCTCTAAAAAACAGTATATAATATGTGTTGGCTCAATAGAAGACAGAGATGCAAATTGCGTTTGAACACAAACAGCAAAAAAGGCTTGTGTCTTTAAGGGTAAGTACAGTTTTTGAAGCTGCGTCCTTAACCCCTTTATGGACTGAGCTAAATGTACAGGTTGTGATCAAAACATAAACAAAAACTTTAATTTGCGCTATATGTCTGTTCGCCTTTTTCATATTATGTGCACCCACACTTATTATACATCATTTTATTCAGGGAAACAGGGCTTTAATTTAACATCAAATATTTAGGTATGAAACATAATTTAATATGAATAAAATATAAAAAAATGGGAAAAAAATAAGATTTATTTTAAAAAAAAATGTAGTTCTACGTGACATTCTAACTGTGAATGTCATAATACTGTGTGCTTTTACTGCAATAAAATACACATATTTGTTTTAAGCGATGTCTCACGTGTAAAACAGTACCCCCTATGTACAGATTTTATGGTGTTTTGGGACGTTACAGGGTCAAATATAGCATGTTACATTTTTCAGTTTGGTTACGTTGCCTTTGAGACCGTATGGTAGCCCAGGAATAAGAATTACCCCCATGATGGCATACCATTTGCAAAAGTAGACAACCCAAGAAATTGCAAATGAGGTATGTCCAGTCTTTTAAAGTAGCCACTTGGTCACAAACACTGGCCCAAGTTAGTGTTAATATTTGTGCGTGAAAAATGCAAAAAACTAATTTGAATGCACTAAATGGCTACTAAAAAAGACTGGACATACCCCATTTGCAATACATTGGGTTGTCTACTTTTGCAAATGGTATGCCATAATCGGGATAATTTTCATTCCTGGGCTACCGTACGGTCTCAAAGGCAAAATAACCAATATGGCGAATTTCAATGTGAAAAAACTGAAACGCAAGCCTTATATTTAACTCTGTAACTTTTGAAAACACCATAAAACCTGTACATGAGGGGTACTGTTATACTCGGGAGACTTCGTTGAACACAAATATTAGTGTTTCAAAACAGTAAAACGTATCACAACAATTATATCGTGTGTGTAAATGCCATTTGTGTGTGAAAAATGCAAAAGATTTCACTTTCACTGACAATATCGTCGTCGTAATACATTTTACTGTTTTAAAACACTAATATTTGTATTCAACGAAGTCTTCCGAGTAAAACAGTACCCCCCCATGTACATGTTTTATGGTGTCTTGGAAAGTTACAGGGTTAAATATAGTGCTTGCAAATTAAATTCCCTGGACTTTTTTTATAAAATGACCTAATTATGAAATTGCATTACATAAACATATATGTATACACATATATATGTTTTTTATTTATTTTTTAACGTATTATATATAAATATATATATATAATGATAATTATATATATATTTAATCAATATCATTGTACGTGTATTTTGATATTAATATATATAATTATATTATTATATATTAATATTAAAATACACTTAGTGTATATGTATATTTGTGTATATATATATATACTTAGATCATATATATAATAAATATATATGAGCTAAGTACATATTTTATTTTAAACTATTAACTTTATATTTTTACATTTTACAGACAGCAGGGAGAGTATCTGTCATTACAGGCACACCCCCTGCTGGCTGTGCCTTGGACGGCTATGCCGTCCATGTGACCGCGAGGTCCTCGTAAGGACCTCGCTATCCCATGGCCCAGGGGGGCCGAAGAGGATGGAGGGATTGCCCGTGACCGGTAAGTACAAAGGACGGCTTAGGCGTTCTATGCCCCCCTCAGGCGTTTAGAGCTGGTTCCCTAGGGAAGGCATAGAACGCCTGCCATCCTTAAGGGGTTAAAGGAGCACTATAGTGCCAGGAAAACAAACTCGTTTTCCTGGCACTATGTAATCCTTAAGTATCCCCCACCCTCTGGGCCCCTTTAACTCCTTAAGGACCAAACTTCTGGAATAAAAGGGAATCATGACATGTCACGTGTCCTTAAGGGGTTAAAACCCATTCAGCCACTTACCTTTCTCCAGCGCCGGGGAACTCTCCTTCTCCTGCAGACGACAGCACCGAATGCGCGACAAGAGTCACGAGCGCATTCAAACCGCCCATAGGAAAGCATTACTCAATACTTTCCTATGGTTGCGTCTTCTCACTGTTTTTTTCACAGTGAGAATCTCGGAAGTGGCCTCTAGTGGCTGTCAGTGAGAAAGTCACTAGAAGCTGGAGTAACCCTCAGTGTAAACATAGCAGTTTCTCTGAAACTGCTGTTTTCAGCTGCAGGGTGAAAACTAGAGGGACCTGGTGTTCTGTCAGATCACTATACCTCGTCAGATTGATATACCGGAAGTGACGCGGCAGCACCGGAAGTGACACGGCCGCACCGGAAATTTTGTTTTACTGCTGGAGGAGGAGGAGCGTAGCGCCGCGCAGGCGCAGAAGAACAGGTTGCCAACATCATCTTAGACAGTACGGAGAGGAGGCCAACGAATGCGCATGCGCGAACCCCACATTGCGCTTGCGCCTGGAACCACAAGAGGAGGGGGAGGTAGGGGCCAGTGCGCACGCGCGGCTAAGTACTCCCGTCGGGCACAGACAACGGGATACACCGCGCGTGCGCACCAGCGGGCAGGGAGATCGCTTAAGCCGAACAGTAATCCGATCTCCCTGCCCCACACTGCGCACGCGCCTACCCAGCACCGCGCATGCGCACTCAGGGGGAATAGAGATCTGATGGCCATTTGTTCTAAGAAATCTCCTACCCCTGAGTGCGCATGCGCTGTGTCTGATCCACTGCATCCAGACATCCATCAGGTAAGCCTTGCTCCCAACACTCTCAGCCATCCGGGGGGAAGGGGGGTCTGTCCATTGGGGGGGGGGGGCTGTCCAGTATTGGGGGGTCTGTGCCTCATTGGGGGG